TTCCTGTCTCTCTCTCTCTCTCTCCCTCAGTCTCTCTCTCTCTCTGTACATATCCACCATCGCGTCCTGAGGTTCCTTCGAGTTCTCCGTATGAGGTGCTACAAATCTTACTTCAACAGGCCACTGCCTGGAATTTCGGGCGCTCCTGGACGCTCCTGGGCGCTAGTGGGAGTGACTGGCGTGACTCTCCCAGAGGCCACGAGCGCGCTATTCGGGACATGCATGTCCAACATGGCCAAGGATGGCCCCGAGGACAGTCCTGGAGCCCTCTTGGGCGCCTCCTGGGACGCCTTGGAGGCCCCAGAGGGTGGGCCAAGATGCCAAACTCGTCAAAACCGTTGTTGGGCTCCACATTGGCTTTAACATTACCGCTTGGGGGGGCCTTCAGAGCGTCCAAGACGGCCCAAGAGGCCCCTTCCAGTCGGACTCGATTGGGCAGGACACGCGAGAGGACACAAGACCCTTCCGCGGTCCACGTTGCCACAGGAATGTAGGAAGCATGAGTCGCGAGACACAGGACACAAAGGTAGATACCCTTGACTTGGCAGGGTCGACCTACTAATCTCGGCCGACTGTAAGACAGGTCTCCACAACGGGCGGGGGAATGCATACGGTCCGATAGCTTGTCCGAGCTGTTGGCCGCAGCGGTCGGCCACCTTGGGGCGCTGCCTCTCAAGGCAGGGGGCGGTTCGCTCTGCCGCTCCCTGTGGGCTTGCCACGGGGGTGCCTGGCGTGCCACATGTCTGAACGGCGCCGAGCCTTCAAAAAGGCTCCCACAGGGGATCCTGGCCGATCCCGCCAGCCACCCAGAAATCGGATTCCTCGTCTGGAGCCCCGAGATCGCTCCAAGAGCGGCCAAGAGGCCCCCAAGAGGCCCACGAGACGGCCCAAGAAGGCCCCAAGACGGCCCAAGAGGCCAAGAAGACGGGCCCAAGACGGCCCCGTAGACCTCCAAGACAGTCCTAAAGCGCCGAAAGACGAAACCACGACTGCCCAAAGAGCGCCCCAAGACTGCCTCCGGAGGCCAAGAGGTTCCTCAAAGGCCCCTAGAAGCCCCCAGAAGCCCCCAAGAGGCCCCCAAGAGTCCCCCAACAGAATCCCCAGGAGGCCCCCAAGAGGCTCCTCAGACGCCCCAAGAGGATCCCAGGAAGCCCCCAGGAAGCCACAAGACGGCCTGCTTTTCCTCCTCCTCCTCCACTCCTCCTCCTCCTCCTCCTCCTCCTCCTCCTCCTCCTCCTCCTCCTCCTCCTCCTCCTCCTCCTCCTCCTCCTCCTCTGAAGAAGAAGAAGAAGAACTCATCCCTGTTGCCCCCTGAGACCGGTCGAGAGGGCGGACTGGGCGCTTCGCCTGAGAATTCCTCACCACGGATTGAGGGCGGGTGGTTTTTTAAATGTGGCTCTCGCCTCAGCGCCGCGCAGATTCGATGAAGAAAACTGGCAACAGCTTCACGGATTAAGGGCGGGTGGTTTTCAAAATATGGCTCTCGCCTTAGCGCCGCGCAGATTCGATTACAAAAAGTGGCAACAGCTTCACAGATTGAGGGCGGGTGGTTTTCAAAATGTGGCTCTCGCTTTAGCGCCACGCACATCCGATTTAACCAGTTGCCAGAGCTTCACGGATTGAGGGCGGGTGGTTTTCAAAATGTGGCTGGCTCTCGCATTAGCACCGCGCACATTCGTCTTGAAATTTGCAATAGTTTCACGGGTACAGGGTAACTCCGTTTCAAAATGTGGCTATCGCCATAGCGCCGCGCACATTCGTCTTGAAAAATTGCAAGGGTTTCGCGCATTCCCATGGTCAACGTACCTGAAAGTTTGTTTTGGAACGATTCAGGACTGTCAGGGCACAACAATCAAGTTGATTCGCAGTGTTCGTGCATGATTCCGGATCGTCAAGACGCAGCAGTCAGGTTGATTCGTGGCGTTCAAGTCCCGAGAATGGTGTTTCATCACGCTTCAGGATCTTCAAACGGTTGTCTCCCAACGGTGTACTTCCCTCAGTGGAAATAATCATTTTAGGGGCCTCTGAAGAGGAAGCTTGGAGGGAGGGGTTCTTCCAACGTCGGCGATGAGTCTTGGGTTTAAACTGGTCCTCCTCATCCTCCTCCTCCTCCTCCTTCTTCTCCGCTTCCTCCTCGTCCTCTTTCTCCTCCCTCTCATCCTCCTTTCTCTTTCTCTCCGAGATGTTCCCCAAAGAGGGTCCACAGCGGCTGGGGGGATCCGTTGTCCAATAGCTTGGCCAGACTTTGGCCGAACAATTGGCCGCATGGCGCATGGGCATCTCCAAAAGGCACAGGCGTAGTCGATCGGAGGAGGAGAGCGGGAAGCGGGCCGCAATGACTAAAACGCACGTCTACCGAAAAACGCATGGGTCAAATGACGGGCTGGTTCCTCCTTGTCCTACTACCACTACTACTACTACTACTACTACTACTACTACCACTACTACTACCACTACTACTACTACTACTACCACTACTACTACTACTACTACTACTACTACTACTACGACTACTACGACTACTACTAATACGACTACGACGACTACGACTACTACTACTTCAACCACTACTACTACTATTACTACTACTACTACTACTACTACTACTACTACTACTACTACTACTACTACTACTACGACTACGACTACTACAACAACAACTACTACTACTACTACTACTACTACTACTACTACTACTAGTACACCACTACTAGTACACCACTACTACTACACCACTACTACTATGACTACTACTACTACTACTATTATTACTACTACTACTACTGCTACTACTACTACTACGACTACGACTACGACTACTACTACGACTACGACTACGACTGCTACTACTACTACTACTACGACGACGACGACGATGACGACGACTACTACTACTACGACTTTGACTACTACGACTACTACTACTACTGCTACTACGACGAAGACGACGACGAAGACGACGACGACTACTACTACAAAGACGGCTACTACTACTACTACTACTACTACTACTACTACTACTACTACTACTACTACTCCTACTATACTACTACTACTACTACTACTACTACTACTACTACTACTTCTACTACTACTACTACTACTACTACTACTACTATACTACTACTACTACTACTACTACTACTACTACTACTACTACTACTACTACTACTACTACTACTACTACTACTACTACTACTACTACTACTACTACTACTACTACTACTACTACTACTACTACTACTACTACTACTACTACTACTACTACTACTACTACTAACTACTACTACTACTACTACTACTACTACTACTACTACTACTACTACTACTACTACTACTACTACTACTACTACTACTACTACTACTACTACTACTACTACTACTACTACTACTACGACTACTACTACTACTACTACTACTACTACTACTACTACTACTACTACTACTACTACTACTACTACTACTACTACTACTACTACTACTACTACTACTATTACTTCTACTACTACTACTACTACTACTACTACTACTACTACTACTACTACTACTACTACTACTACTACTACTACTACTACTACTACTACTACTACTACTACTACTACTACTACTACTACTACTACTACTACTACTACTACTATACTGCTACTACTACTACTACTACTACTACTACTACTACTACTACTACTACTCCTACTAATAAAAATAATACTAGTAAGCTCGTCGGGAAGCACTCCAGTCTGAGAACACATGTAGTTCTATTGTTTGCAGGGAGATGGGGGATGGGGGGGTAAGAGGGAGAGGGAGGGGAAGGCGCTGGGAGGGGTAAGGAGAGGGAGGGGGAGGGGAGAGGATGATGGCGAGGTGGACGGGAAGGCGAGGGGGGGTGGAGCAGGGGGAATAGGAGGATGGACGGTGAGAATGGAGGCCAGCACGGCAGAGAGAGGGGCAAAGAATGGAAGGGGTTGGAGAGGGTACCAAGCGGAAAAGGGGGGGAAGGAGGGGGAGGAGCCGGGGTAAGGGCAGGAGGAGAGGGAGGGGAGGAGGGAACAGAAAGGTAGAGCAGGAGGGGGAGGGAGAGGACAAGGGAGGATGGGCACGGGGCGAGCAGGCCATAGCCATCACATCCGCCAGCATCGTCATCGGTACCAGCGTCGTCGTAGCCATCCTCAGCATCACATAGCCATCGCTGTTACGTCACCAACGACGTGGTCGCCCGCCACCTGCATGGTCGCCACTACCATCATCACAATCACCCTCGCACTTGGCATACTTGCCGTCGCCGCCAGCATCATCGGTATCGTCAGCAGCATAGTTACCACCATCGCAAGCGACTCGTACTTGCTGGCCGCTGATGCCCCCCCGCTTCAATGACAGGCAACAACAAGCTCCGGAACAGCTCCTTCAGAAGGCCACTTCAAAGGCCCTGAGCAAGTCGCACACAAGGCCTCGATGAGGATCATGAGGCCTCATTACGATGGCCCCGCTAAAACCAGCAAAACCTCCGTGAGGACGTGCTCGTAAACCACCAAATGTTCCGCTCACCGTGCGCCCACGACGAGGACGTGCACGTCGTTTTGTCAGGGGGAAGACGGGAGCGGACATCTGGACTCAACAACACGCGTGCGGGGCACGACCGCCAAAGCGGTTGCCCCCGAAAGCAGCGCTCCTCCCCACCTGGCGTCGGAAGAGCCGCGAGCACGCACATCGTACGTCTGCTGCTCGATGCCCGCACGGTCGATCGTGGAGAACATTAGGCCCCACGGCGAGCCGCATCGCCGATGTATCGGCGATGCGACGCGATTCTCCGACTACTCGGACCCCATCTGGGGAAACCAAAAGGTACCGATACAGCTACTCCGTGGACCTCTCCCACGGTGCGTTCTGCCCATGGTTTCGAGGCGAACCTGGCGGTCGCAGCAAAGGCCTCGCAGGAGGTTCAAAAAAAAGAGAACGGGCGAAGGACATCGGTATCATTACCTCATCATCCTCCTGACCCCCGCCTCGTGCTCGTGCTTCATCATCTTCTCGATCTCCTCCTTGGTCGGGAGCTGCTCCTCGGATTCAGGCAGGGCTCGAGCTGAAACGGTGTTTGCCGCTTCTTCCCTCGTTCTGTTTTCGTTCCGCCGCTGCTGCAAAACAAAATCAAAACGAGAACGGCCCACGAGCCACCAAATTGGACAAACATACAACAACATCAAACAATCAACGTACTTAAGAAGTCTAAGCAAGATCGAACAACACCAAATCGAAAACCAACACCGTGTGGGTCGAGCCCTCGATTCGGGCGTGCGGCGCCGGGCCAGGACGCGGCGGAGGACCGCCTCCCGAGCGCCCACGCGCCCTCCAGAGGAGGCATGGTATTTGGGATGTTTCGTCCAAAATCCGCCTGTATGGGGGACACGCCCGACCTGACGCTACAGTCGAGACGCTGTCGTAGGGAACCCTGAATAAGGAACGAGGCCCCTTTTCCCAATCGGTTAAGCTTCGAGGAAAGCATGGGACAAAACGAGGAAAGCATGAGACAAACTGTAGAACAACGAAGGAGCACCGAGCCCCTCCCCTGCGAGCAGAGTTCCTTCGTCAGCGGGCCAACCGCATGTCGACCCCTACCCCAGGCTTCGAGGGGTTTTCGAATGGACGAGAAGTTCGGGACCCAACCGTGGGATGTACGATGGGGGGGGGGGCGTCCATCCTCGACAGGGGTGCGCCCGAATAGCCCCCTCGGGGTGCATCCCAGGGTTTCCCCCTCTTTCTGAGCGGCTTAACGTTTTGGGCGGAACTCGGATACCGGGGGAGACCAACCGCCTGCTACAAGAGAGGGGGAAGCCCACGATACGAACGAGTTTCACGGGTCGTGAAAAAGTCGCGACGGGAAGCTTCTCGCTACTTTTGGACTTTTGGGGGCCCTTACCGGGCCACGGGCCTTGGAAGGCCATGTCTTGAGCGGCTCCACCCTTCGGTAGTGTAACGCTTCCCAAAATTGATCCACAGACGCTCCAACAAATAACCCCTCGGCGTTCCAAAAAATCAATAAGTCAATGTACCTTGACACCCATCCATCTTAACCACCCACCAAAAAAACATGAAAGTTGCACATGCTTGGTACCACGAAGCCATCACGAGAAACCTGACATTGCCCCAATACGAATCAAACGTGGGCATATACAACAACTACAGAAATCCAATTCAGAAGAACAGCATCATTCGTGGCCAAGGCGCTTGTTCGGTGCGAGAGCGTGACACAAGGACGACCGCCAGGTGTGGCACAGACAACAGCACGTGGAGCAGGCGCACCAGTCGGACGATGGAAAGGACTGAGCGGATATGGAAGGGAATGGCAGCCTCGGCCTCCTCCTCATTATCCTCCTCCTTTTCTCCCCCCAAACCCTCCCCCTCCCTCCCTCCCTCCCTCCTCTTCCGCCTCCTCCGCCTCCTCGTCCCCCACCGTCTCCTCGCCCCCCTCATCCTACTCCTGCGGTTGCCGCAACGTTGCGACACTCATGAGTGCAATCTCAACGGACTGTCACGTTTTGGTCTTGCGCGTGGTCTTAGCAAACCACTCGCAAGCAACATGTAACCTTCATCGTTTCGCAGACACGCCCCTCAAGGTTCCGCATTGCCCCTTCCCCTCCTCCCCGCCCCTTCCGCCTCCTCCTCCTCCTCCTCGTCCTCCTCCTCCTTCTCCTCCTCCTCCTGCCCCTGCCCCTGCCACTCGCCTCCTCCCCTTCCCCCCTCCTCCCCCCCCCTCCCCCGCTCTCCGCCGCCTCCTCCTCCCTCTCCGCCACCTCCGCCTCGCCCCGCCTCGCCCCGCCCTCCGTCCTCGCTGCCTCCGTCGCAAGGCATCCCTGGACGCCCAGGCCGTGGGCACGCTGCTTGTCGGGTTGTTCTCTTCGCTGCCAGACGCCGAGTCGGAGAGTTCAGACGAAGGCCCGCCCCGCACAAAGGGGGTTCTCGGACTGCGGCTTTCGGTAGTTTTTGGGGCGCCTCCCAAAAACTCCCGTCCGAGCCCGTCATCGGACGGGATGCCTCCCAACAATTACCGAAGACCCCTCTCCAAAAACTCTAACAATTACGATCCTCGTGAGGGGTGCGTCCGTCCGAAGACGGATAATTTACCGTAAAATATTTTCTGGCGGCCCTCCGTCCGAGAACGTCCTCGGACGGACCCTCCCCAACACGCAATTATTCCGGTAAGAAAACCAATGAACCCAAAACTAACGTGCCGAAGCCCGATTCGACCAAGCCCCCCGCCGCTGACCCCGCCGAGGACGTAGCCGAGGCCGCCAGCATGGACTGCGACGCTCCGGTCGGCGAAGGAGGAGGAGGATGTGGAGGAGGAGGAGGAGGGAGTGAGGAGTAGGGGGAGGAGAAGAGGGGGGAAGCACGGGGAAAGCCTCGAAGTGACCTCATCATTCCTCAAATGGCTTCGAGAAGGTAACCCAGGACGGCCCCAGGCTGGACCCAAGACAAACCAAAGATCTTAGGCTCTGTCAACTTCGAAGACGATTTCCGTCCCGCGACGGAGGTGACTGAAGGGCAACGTCGTCAAAGACGTTTACGGCGAATCACCAGCGCCCCCTGCTTTTGAAAGCGCCTAGAACTCGGCCACACGCTCGAACCATATTCTCTCACGCCAAATTCCTGTACGACATACTTCGCGTTCGCACTTGCAGCGCTCACAACGAATTCGCTCGATGCGCAAATGTTAGAATATATGGCACATGCTGTGCCATGCAATGCGCGAAAACGACTATGCGACTAAACGAACGGGGAGGAGAAGGAGGAGGGATGAGGGAGGAGGAGGAGGAGAAGGGAGGAGGAGGGAGGAGGAGGGAGGAGGAGGGAGGAGGGAGAGGGGGGGGAGCGAGGGGAGGAGGAGGGGAAGGCGGAGAAGGAGGAGGAAGAGGTGCAGGCTCAGCGGTGTAGGCGGGGTAGGTGGCTGTGGTGATGGCGGTGATCGGGTGACGGTAGGGACTCGGCGATGGGGTGGCGCGCGCGCATTCGTGATTGGTGTATAGTGGGTGGTGTACAAAGGTTGTTCGATCGTTGGCGCGTGTGCGAGGTGTTTTCCGCACACGTGGTGTTGTTGCCGTCTGTTGCGCGTATCCATCCCAAGCACGGGGACTCACTGCTACGATTAACCAATCGTTGGCACGTTCTGGCGTATGGTTCTAATTCGTGGTAGTTGATAGTACTCCCAAAAACATGATTTTATGTTTTGGGTTTTGTTAATGTTCAATATGTTTGGAATTATTGGCGGACAATTCCACGGGCTGACGTGCGTGAGTTCGTTCTTGACCGAAGCGCGGAGCTCGGCAAGCCATGTCGACACTTTGCGAGCGGGGCGCGGCCAGCGAAAGCGGCCAAGGATGGGCCGAAGGGAAAGGATGCAAGGGCAAACTTGACAAGTTGCTCATCCTTACCATGCGGTCTGACTGTAAGGCCAGTCCGAAAGAAACCTTCCATAAGAAACCCAACCCTGAGACCCCAGGGCGTGCCTTGATTTTTGGCGTGGGGACGTCTCGCTTTCCAGAGCAAAACAATCGGAACCCAAGAAACCCAGCGCACCCTGGAGGCAAGCAGGGTGTGTCTTGGCACGGGCCTCCCCTGTATCCTTAGGAGAAACAACAAACGCTCACCCGAACCCCCGACAACGCGGGGGAATCGAACGGGGCCGAGCCGCCCCACCTCCCGCCGCCGAGGGCCCCCCCCCACCCCGCGCTGCCGTCGACTCACCGCGGCCGCGGGGAAATTGGCCAACGGTGGGACCGACTGCTGTGTTCTGTAGGAGGTGCGCCAGGTACAGTGGGACCTACAGTCAGCCCGTATATAGTAAGGATGTGCGATACGGATGCACGTGCCTTGGACGCCCACTTCGAAGCTCCGCGGGCGGGGCGCGGCCAACGAAAGTGGCCAAGGATAGGCCGAGGATGCAAGGATGCAAGGGTAACTACCCTTGAGAAGGTTGCCCATGCTTACTATGCGGGTGGAGGTCAGAAGAACGTCCTTCAAGAACATGAGACTCCCCGTGGACCAAAACACACAGAACATCCAAGGGTGCTCTCCCAATGATGCACAAGAACATCCAACAAACACAGCAAACACTAGGGTACCCTCCCCAAAAAACAACCTCGATCTTACACCTCAGTCCGACTGTACGGTAGGTTCGTGCGAAGTCGGCGCGCATAAAGGTTTTTGACACCTCGTCGATCGCTCAACGCTGAGTCGAGCGGGGCCTTGAGATCGTTCAGGGTTGAAGCCAGTCGGGTCCAGTGGCGTCACCGTGTCCCTCGGTGCCTCCGCGTCGCAGAGCCATCGGAGCCCAAGAAACCCATCGGAGCCCAAGAAACCTTACCATGCGGTCTGACTGTACAGTAGAGGCCAGTCCACCAGAGACCTTCCACGCGAAGCCCAACCCTGAGACCCCGGGACGCCACTCGACATTCGGCGTGGGAACGACACGCCGTCCATAGCAAAGCCATCGAGACACGCGTCGATCGCGGTCCGACTGTACGGTAGGTTCGTGCGAAGTCGGCGAGCGTGATCAAAGATTTTGTTGACACCTCGTCGATCGCTCAACCCTGAGTCGAGCGCGGCCTTGATATCGTTCAGAGTTGAAGCCTGTCGGGTCCAGTGGCGTCACCGTGTCCCTCGGTGCCTCCGCGTCGCAGAGCCATCGGAGCCCAAGAAACCCATCGGAGCCCAAGAAACCTTACCATGCGGTCTGACTGTACAGTAGAGGCCAGTCCACCAGAGACCTTCCACGAGAAGCCCAACCCTGAGACCCCGGGACGCAACTCGACATTCGGCGTGGGAACGACACGCCGTCCATAGCAAAGCCATCGAGACCCGCGTCGATCGCTGTCCGACTGTACGGTAGGTTCGTGCGAAGTCGGCGAGCGTGATCAAAGATTTTGTTGACACCTCGTCGACCGCTCAACCCTGAGTTGATCACGGCCCCGATGTTGTTCAGGGTTGAAGCCTGTCGGGTCCAGTGGCGTCACCGCGTCCCCCGGTGCCTCCGCGTCGCAGAGCCATCGGAGCCCAAGAAACCCATCGGAACCCAAGAAACCTTACCATGCGGTCTGAGTCCAGTAGAGGCCAGTCCACCAGAGACCTTCCGCGAGAAGCCCAACCCTGAGACCCCAGGACGCCCCTCGACATTCGGCGTGGGAACGACACGCCGTCCATAGCAAAGCCATCGAGACCCGCGTCGATCGCGGTCCGACTGTACGGTAGGTTCGTGCGAAGTCGGCGAGCGTGATCAAAGATTTTGTTGACACCTCGTCGATCGCTCAACCCTGAGTCGAGCGCGGCCTTGATATCGTTCAGAGTTGAAGCCTGTCGGGTCCAGTGGCGTCACCGTGTCCCTCGGTGCCTCCGCGTCGCAGAGCCATCGGAGCCCAAGAAACCCATCGGAACCCAAGAAACCTTACCATGCGGTCTGAGTCCAGTAGAGGCCAGTCCACCAGAGACCTTCCGCGAGAAGCCCAACCCTGAGACCCCAGGACGCCCCTCGACATTCGGCGTGGGAACGACACGCCGTCCATAGCAAAGCCATCGAGACCCGCGTCGATCGCGGTCCGACTGTACGGTAGGTTCGTGCGAAGTCGGCGAGCGTGATCAAAGATTTTGTTGACACCTCGTCGATCGCTCAACCCTGAGTCGAGCGCGGCCTTGATATCGTTCAGAGTTGAAGCCTGTCGGGTCCAGTGGCGTCACCGTGTCCCTCGGTGCCTCCGCGTCGCAGAGCCATCGGAGCCCAAGAAACCCATCGGAGCCCAAGAAACCTTACCATGCGGTCTGACTGTACAATAGAGGCCAGTCCACCAGAGACCTTCCACGCGAAGCCCAACCCTGAGACCCCGGGACGCCACTCGACATTCGGCGTGGGAACGACACGCCGTCCATAGCAAAGCCATCGAGACCCGCGTCGATCGCGGTCCGACTATACAGTAGGTTCGTGCGAAGTCGGCGAGCGTGATCAAAGATTTTGTTGACACCTCGTCGATCGCTCAACCCTGAGTCGAGCGCGGCCTTGATATCGTTCAGGGTTGAAGCCTGTCGGGTCCAGTGGCGTCACCGTGTCCCTCGGTGCCTCCGCGTCGCAGAGCCATCGGAGCCCAAGAAACCCATCGGAGCCCAAGAAACCTTACCATGCGGTCTGACTGTACAGTAGAGGCCAGTCCACCAGAGACCTTCCACGAGAAGCCCAACCCTGAGACCCCGGGACTCCGAAAATCGAGGCCCAAGAAACCCAGAGGGCACCCTTTTGGGCGACCCAAACGGGGGTCCAGCTGAAAGGGGGTGGTGCAATAGATTTGGGGCAATTGTATTGCAAATGTATTGCGCCGGAGAATTTTACTGCAAGTAATGTACTGCACGCGAAAATACAGCAGTGCAGTTGCGCCCCGACATGTATTGCACGCCCCTAATGTATTGCAATCCCACAAATCTATTGCACCAACTCTATTGCACCACCCCCTTGTCGCTGGACCCCCTTTCGGCCTAACCCGAACCCTGGTGGCAACAGGGTGAGTTTTGGCACGGACCCCCCCACACACTGTAGCGAGAGGGCCGCCCGAGCAGAGGAGCGCAGCCCACGTCGACAGGCGCCGCGCGCAGATGCCTCGGAACGCTCTACTCTTAAGTCGGGCGAGTCCCTCTTGAGGGGGAATCTTCAAAAATAGTCCACAAATAATCAGGAGACGATGCTTGGGCTATTTTCGAATATTTTTAATATGTTTGAGCATTATCTATTTTTCGTCCAGAATCCGCCTGTAGGAGGACATGCCCGACCTAATTCTACTCGGCGGCGCGCCTGGGACGCTCTCGACGACGACGACGACCGACGACCGACGACCGACGACCGACGGCGGAAGACGGACGGACGGACGGACGGACGGACGGACGGACGGACGGACGGACGGCGACCGAGCCGCGGCCTGCGCCGTGGGAGCCGCCGAAGTCCACGCCGGCGCGGCGCTCCGGCGCTGGCGCCGTCCACGCCGGCGCGGCGCTGCCGGGGGCAGGCCTTCTCAGGGGGCGGCGGGGCTTCTCGGCAGCCCTCTGGCGCTCCGAGTGGCCGCCCGTGCATGCGGGGCAGGCCCGGAGCACTGCTCATCAGGCCCGAGGCCTTCAGAGCCTTCGGAGCAGGCTCGCCGCCGATCCACCACTGGCGGCATCCCGGCTGGGGTTCAGAGCAGACGGGGTCCAGGGATCCGCGCCGAGGCCTCGGCGATGCTTCGGCGACGGCGGGCTGAAGGAGAGCTGCAAGGCTGGGATTCGTCCATCACCACCACCCGGGGGGGGTCGCCCTTCGGGGACCTCGGCAGGCGGCGGACATGGATACGTCTGGCCCTCCAGGGCCCGAGGACGGTTGGGAGCTGTTGCTTAGCGTGTCAGGGCGACTTCCCTTCGGCGACACGCTATGCCTTGCGAGCGGACAGCGTGTCGCTCCGCTCCGCGGGACGGGCGGCTGGGAACAGCTCGGGGCTGTGACGCTGGGGGGCCCAGGAGTGGGCAGCGTGTCGCTCCGAAGCGTGGTGGGCCAGACCCAGCGGAGCGACACGCCGACCACCAAAAGTTCCCGACCGTACATCTACACACACACACACGCCGCCTGCCGAGGTCCCCGAAGATCGATCCCCCGGACCAGGACCAGTCCCCGCCTCGGGGGGGCGGGCCTCGATCGAGCCGCGGGCCGAGAGGGCCCGGCTTTCGGTCCATAGCTCGCGCCTCGGGCGGCCGTTGGGGACGACCATGGCACCCCCCGACGACTCTCGACGAGGCGCAGCTGCTGCAAAGCTGGGCCCGAAGACCTCCACAGACACCCGAAAAACTTCGAAAACCCCCCTTCCTCGAGCAAGGGCCGAGGATCGGGCTGCATCGGCGAACCGGCGCGGTCCCCTGGCCCCACCTGCTCCGGCACCGCTTGGGAGGCCCGGAGTCATCGCCTCCGGCAGCAGAGGACGGGGGGAAAGCGGCGGGGCAGCGCTCTCCATCAGCAGGCCGATGGAGTCGGGGTCCATGCGGGGGTCGGCGAGCTCGTACCTCCGCAGCTGGTCGCACAGCTCCTGACCGGGGAAGGGCGCTCCCCCTCCTCCTCCTCCTCCTCCTCCTCCTCCTCCTCCTCCTCCTCCTCCTCCTCCTCCTCCTCCTCCTCCTCCTCCTCCTCCTCCTCCTCAAGGGGGTGCGTGTGACTGGACGGGCCCTCATCCTAAATCGTGGTCGTCTCGACGTACGTGGCTGTGGCTAGACCTAATCCCGTGTCGGTATGAACTACTTATTCAGAGATTGCGTAAGTATGATTAGGTGGCCTGAGGAAGCTGTATTTGCGTTCGAGAGTTCTAAAACGCTGAAGGATGCTGTTCTTACCAACGAGGCCAACCCGTATGCCGCTAGATTCATCAGTGATGTGAACTGTCTTAGGGCTCTCACGGACATGGAGGACTGGGAGGAGAGGTGGGGGCAGTCGGTGATCGCTTCATTCGAGGATGAGGATATTCGCCACACGTTCTTAAACACGGACGTCAGTGCGATTCGCAAGCTTTGGACACTTGGTCGTGTGGGTTCTTGGATCTAGGTGTATTTCCTGACGTGGACGAGGGATGGGTTTCTGCTGAGCTCCGCTATCGCTGTAGACATCTTAACGATGAGGGACACGTCTGTGGGGCAGCGTTCGCTACACGTAAAAGGCTCACCATGCACAATACGTTCACTCAAGGAGGTACACACGGCAAGACCTCTAACCTGTACAAGTGCGTTGTTACGAACCGGTGCCCGTGCTGTATGCAAAGTTTTGCCGTCCGTCGAAGCGCTAAGTCTCATATTAAAACTGCTTATCGCACGGGTACGTGTAATCTGAGTACTGCTCATGCCGTTCACCCTGTGGTTGCAGTGCCGCTCGTGTACCCTCTCTGTCGGTTCGATTGCTGTACCAATCTGGCTCAGCTACAGAAACAGATTCGAGACGAACATCTCCCTCCACTCCCAGCGTCACGTGCTTGCACGGATGCAACCAGCGTGGGCGCTCGAGCGCGCCGCTCCCGAAGGGTCAGCAGCCTCGGCTGCAGCCGGCGCCCCGCCTCTGCAGGAAGCCAGAGGGCCACCTCCTGCCCAGGCCGCCAGCGGACAGCCCCAGCTTGCCATCGCTCGGACGTCCATTCCCTGGGCATGTTTCGGTTTCGTGCGTGTTTTTTTCGGCTCGATGGTCAAGGATGCTCCTCGATGGTCCTCGCCGAGAGAAACATGCACGCGTCCGAGAGATGCCAAGCCAGGCCGAGCGCCCCAAGAAGCAGCGCAAGGATCGCAGCAGGTCCCTCGGCACGCGGGCGGCCGCGGGCTGGAACCAGAAGCAAAAGGCCATCATCAGTGCACAGTCGAAGCGCTGTCATAAGGAACCACAGATAAGGAACGAGGCCGCTTGTCTTCCACGAGTTGAGCTCCGATGCCGCGGAAAACCGTAAGGACAACCTGGGACAGACTGTAAAATGATGAGGAACGCTGAGCCCCTCCCCAACGAAAAAGGGTTCCTTCTTCAGCGGCCCGACTGTTTTGATCAAGTCGACTCTCGCGTGCAGCCATAGGCAATGCGCGACCATGTGGTCACTTGGGATCGACACGTGGTTCGTGGACACAACACTTCCAGAGGCGCTGGCGGGGCCGCGGGCAAAGCTTGCAGCGAGACGGTCAAGGCGGCCGGCAAAGGCCACCAGGTCCTCCTCACCTTCATATCTTCGGTGGGTCGTCAGAAAGCTCTTGGAGCGTTCGACAGCGCTCGGCGCGACGAGCTACGAGACCCTCAAGAATTGGCACGAGAAGTACCTCTGCACCCAGCCCATCGAGGAGGTCTGGACGGTGGTGAGGCTCTTCCGAATCACCAAGTGCTACGACCAGGGCAAGAAGAAGGTGCATTTGGCGTTGATGGAGACGGATCGGTCCCAGTTCGCAGCAGAATCAGGAGAGCCCCTGATTCCTTCCAGCACGCATGTGAGGACGGTGTTCAACAGAGTGCTGGGCGAGGTGGGGGCCAAGAGCGCGATCGGGGCCGCTCCACCAGGAGCCATGGAGGAGATGCTGCAAAACGTTCTTCCGGAGTCCTGATATTGCCGCTCACTTGCACACGTTTGGTGTAGTTTGTGGTGGGTTCTACACTGAATTGAGTTACTGCAGTTGTTGGATGGTGGTGTTGTGTCTTGAGATTTCGTGTACTGCCTTTGCGTGTTGTACTTCGTTGATGACAATGAGTGCTACCACCACCTGTCCAGTGAGTTCCTTGACGTGGGATTTGAGTGGATGCAGCTGTGCATTGTGTACTTCGGGTGCTGCTACGGCGTCCTGTACTTCGTTGGTGCCAACGAGTGTTACGGCTACCTATCCAGCGAGTTCCAGGTTTGAGGCTGCTGCTTGCTGTCGGTGGCTTCCCCTCCTTCGCCCTCTTGTCCCCTCGCCCCTGCCTTGCTCCTCCTTCCCTCGCCCACGTGTGCACACTTGAGGTCACAGCGTTCGGTTATGAGCAGTTACAGGTTGGTCCCCCCCCCACACGTCGGTGCGGCTGCCCCCAAAATTCACAATGAACTTGGTGGGGCCCGTTCTCCGCTCCTGGATGTGAATCCAGTTTCGGCTGGCAGCAGTGACATATTGTGATGTATGCTAGCAGGTTGCACTTCAGATGTATATATATAGCGCCCTCCCGTGCACACACGTTTTATCTTCATGAAGGCCGACAGTGGCCCAGTCTCCGCACGTTTGCTATCGAGTTCATCGCACACTGCGCGCCTCCACGCAGCGTAACCCACCAGCCCTGGGCGCAGGTGGTTTAGAGAGTTTCCTTTTGCAACCTCCTGCCTTTCCCTGCTCGAGAGGTGTACCTTCCCCCCCCTCCCTGCGACTGGACGGGCTCCCCCGCGATATGGCAGAGGGTCCTTGTTGGTCCAAGATGGCTCCAAGAGGGCTTCAGAGAGCGCAAGATGACCTCCAAGATGGTCGAAGATAACGGTAGATGGGTCAAGATAGCCTCCGACACACGTCCAAGAGGCCTCAAGACGGCCCCAAGACGGTTTCAAGTGCCCTCCGAGGCATCCAAGGACCCCCCCAAGAGGCCCAAATCCTTCAAAAACCTAAGGAAAATCAATGTTGGTTGCCTTCTCGCTGTTTCGCCTCCGATGGGCTCGTGAGGCCTCAGGACGGCCCCAAGACGGCCCAAGATAGCCCCAAGAGGGGTCCAAGAGGGCCCCAAGACGGCCACACGAGCGCCCAAGAGCGCTCCAAGAACGGGCCAAGAGGGCCCCAGGACGGCACGTTTGAGCCTCGGATGGGGGAGGTCAGAATTAAGGCCCCCCCCTTTTTTTTTAGCGAAAGGGTCCGAGACGGCCCCACGAGGCCCCTCAGGCATCCAAAAAGAGCCCCAAGAAGGCCCCCAGGCCCCCCCAAAGAGCCCCAAGAGGGCCCAAGGAGGGCCCCAAGACGCCCTATAAAAGAGCCCCAACAGGGCCCCAAGAAGGCCCTAAAAGGACCTCAAGAGAGCCCCAAGAAAGAGTTCCGGGAGGGCCCGAAGAAGGCCCCAAGAGAACCCCAAGAGAGCCCCATGATGGGTCCAAGTCCCACCAGCCCTCTGGGCGTCGGTGGTTTAGAGCGTTCCCTCGTCCACTTCTCCTTTTTCCCGTTCGGGGAGGGGTTTACCCCTCCCCCTACCCCCTCCCCTGGACCTGGAAGGGGGGGGGGGTCGCGAGGTGCCAGGGCGTCCGTCCAAAACGGCCTCGGCGAGGAAGCCAAAATTTGGTTTGACCAGGGTTTTGGCCCCACTGTGGCCTCTTAGGGGGGACGCTAATGTGACACCCCCCATCTTGTTTGATCGATCTCCTCCTAGATGGCCCCAAGAAGCGCCCAGAGGCCCGAAGAGGTCCCAAGACGGCCACAAGATGGCCCCAAGAGGCCCCCAAGAGGCCCCCAGGAGGCCCCTACAAGGATCCCAAGCGGCCCCAAGAGGCTCCCCCGAGGCACCCAAGACCCCGAAGAGCTCGCCCAGGAGGCCCCAAAAAGGTCCCAAGATGGCCCCGATATGGCCCCAAGAGGCGCCCAAGAAGCCCCCAGGAGGCCCCCAAGAAGACCCCAAGCGGCCCCAACAGGCCCCCCCGAGGCACCCAAGACCCCGAAGAGCCCCCCAGGATCGCGAAGAGAACCCCGAGACGTCCCAAGAGGCCACCAAGAATCGCCCAAGAGATACCCAAGAGGCTCCGAGAGGCAGCCAAGAGACCTCTGGCCCTTGTGCTTGCCTCCTCCCCCCCTCCTCCTGTTCATCCTTCCTCCTCATACTCCTTCTCTTCCTCCTCGTCCTCCTTCTCATCTTATTAATCCTCCTTCTTCCCACTCCCTCATCCACCCATCCATCCACCTCCTCCTTCTCCTCCTCACTCATTTGCACGGTTCGGCCGTCCCCCTCTTTGCTGCCGCACTTCACTGATCACCTCAACTCGCCTGCACATCGTTTCTGGATGGGCTGGTGGGGGTATTGTTTTTGATTGCGGCCGCACGACAATGGTCGGGCGGCGAGAGCAGTGTCCGGGGCAGCGGCACAGTGCGAATTTGCGAACGCAGCAGCCCAAGCCGAGACGCGCCTGCAAGCAGGTTTGCATATGAACATGCACAATACAAAATGAACTAATTCAAAGCTACGGAGCGAGTCGCCGGGTCGGCGCCAGCCTCCGAGCCAAGCTCACGCCTGCCGGCGGGCTGGAAGCGGGCAAAGCATGGAAAACAAAGCAGGCGGCCCTCGGACGGCTGAACCGCTCGAGGCGCTGACCTCGGGCTCCGTACCCAACCGCAGTAGCCCGCGAGGGCCCGGAGCACACCCAGCCTGGCGACCTGACGGGGCAGACCGTCTACGGCAGAACTGGCGCGGGGAGTACCCTAGCCAGAACGGAGAAGCTGGCCACTCAGAACCGCTCAGATCACGAAGTGTGCGGAAAGCTGCTACCGACGACCCGGATCGCGGATGTCGCGGGATCCAGTTGCGCATTCCGACGGCAGGCACCACTGCCAACCTCGAGGGGCCAGCGCTGTGCGCCGGTGTCCTGC